TATATGTTTTACGTAGTTAACTTTCCTATTTAGAAAGGACAGAGATTAATAATAGAGTCCTGGTGTCTCTATTTTCAGTTTTTAAAAATTCAGATGATATTTTTGAATATTCAGCAGAACAGTCTGATTTGTCTCTGGGATTGTCAGCTTCCAGCTCATTCTCTGACAAGAGTATCTTGTGACCCAAATACCATTTTTTGTCTTCTATTTTACACAACTCAGTTTAAATTTAGTGCCTATTTTTCCTGTATGGTACTTACATTCTTCACAAAGTTTAGCTTTAGTGATATATAAAAAGAATCACAAATTTGCTGTATCACTGTGGTAAAATCTAAATAGGATTCCACTTTATTTATAGAACACTTCTTGGTGTTCTCTCTTCTATTCTGATAATTAAGTCTTCCTGCTCCAGTGGACAGGTTTTTTTGTCACTGTTAATTAGCTCTGTCATGGAAGGCAGCTCTTAATCTTATAGCACCTCTCTCTAGTGCCAAGAGTCCAACACAGTTTGTGATTTCACTTCAAATACAGTATATTTAAGAAATGTCCAAAAATCCACTAAAATTATTGCAAGGTTTTTCTTGACTAATGGTTTTCCAGGCTAATGACTTTTTGCATCAGGTCAAAAAACTTGATAGTCACCAGTCTTGCTCATTTTCATTGTGCACAGTTTTGCCCAACATGCCTATGGTCAGATATTTGTTCTGCTGTTCCTATATAACTGTGTCCAGCACAGCAGGAGTGGAGAACATTGTCTTAGGAATCTGCATGATACAGCTTTGTAAGAGGTTTGCTTGAATACCATCATCACTTTCATATAAGAACAAACTATGGCTGACTAATCTGTTTTGTGTTTTAGCCAGCAAGACCAAAAAACAGATATTTGTCAGCTACAATCTTCAAAACACAGACAGCAATTTCACCTTACTCATAGAAAACAGGATCAAAGAAGAAATGATGGCTTTTCCGGAGAAGTTCTGACGTTGCATCATTGTAAAATAACCTGAAGTTTTTGTTTTAGAAAAACTGATTGCAATTTTCACACTGACATTAAGTTGGTATATTTGTTTTGTCTTATTTTGACTGACTTTGCGGTTGTTATTAAATAGAGATGGGCCTAAATACAGTTGGACCTGGAATTTTTTTTTTTTCATATTTGTTACCCTGCTAAGTAGGGCAGCAAATGGATGGACATCATTGTAAAGCTGCATGCAGTGTCTGGCCTCCATGCAGTACTGGGATCTGCTAGGAAATCAGTTTCAAATTTTATCTGTACAGTTAATCTACTGTGTGCGAGCACTGAACATTAGTATAGCAGCTTTTATAGGAAATCAGTTTCAAATTCTATCTGTACAGTTAATCTACTGTGTGCTAGCACTGAACATTAGTATAGCAGCTTTTAGTGTTCAAATAAAGAAACCCTCACATTTTTTGTATTGTAAAGCTGTTGTGAGTGTTACTTTTCTCCTTTTAGTCCCTGTTGGTTGTAGTACTAATGCTGAACACTGGGTTTCCTTCCATCCCTTGGGCACCAAGAGCACTAGAAAAGTTTCACAAAGGGTTATCTGTACATCCCCATGGGCTACGTAGAAGTAAAAAGCACAGCTCGAATTCTGGAGCAATAGATCATAGAATTTTAGGGGTTGGAATAGACCTTACAGATCATCTAGTCCCAACCCCCAAGGTTGGGGCATCAATTACTTCTCTGGGCAACCTGTTCCAGTGTCTCATCACCCTGACAGTAAAATACTTTTTTCTAATACCTAACCTAAACTTCCCCTCCTTCAATTTGAGCCCATTAGTCTTTATCCTATCACTGCAGTTCCTAACAAAGAGTCCCTCTCTGGCTCCCCTGTAGCCCCCCTTCAGATACTGAAAGCTTGCTACGAGGTCTCCATGCAACCTTCTCTTCTGCAGGCTGAACAGCCCCAACTTCCTCAGCCTGTCTTCATAGGGGAGATGCTCCAGTCCTCTTAGCAAGTTCGTGGCCTCCTCTGGACTTGCTCTATGTCCTTCTCATCTTGAGGGCACCAGAACTGCATGCAGCATTCCAGGTGGGGTCTCATGAGTGCAGAGTAGAGGGGAAGAATCACCTCTTTTGACCTGCTGGCCACACTCCTTTTGATGCAGCCCAGGATTCGATTGGCTTTCTGGGCTGCCAAGTCCTAATTGTCAGATTCCTAGAGGAGCATCACATGTAGATTGAGCATACACATTAGAAAAATAGTCCACTACCATGACCACCACCGCAAAGCATCCTGCTGCTACACCTCTGGACTTGCTTTTAGGTGGTAGGATGGGTACCTTTCAAAGACAGTTCCATGGGCTATTTTGTTTAATGAGAGGGCAGCTAGGAGGTAACTATCCAGGTTATTTTTTTTTTCATTGCAAGTTCAGCCCTGACTCAGGCATAAGCTTCTGATGCAAACAAAAACTACTAGTGCTGCTGCTAGACAACTATCCTAACCACCTACAGAAAACTGATGAATTTACCTTGCTGTGGTGCCATAATCAGCAATTAAAAGCTAACTGAGAGGCTGCTGATGTAGGAGGTACAACTGCTGCTGAGTCTCTTGTCCAAAAGGGTTTGAACACGCAGTGGCTTCAACGTTGCAGATTTGATGTGGGTGTAGAGAGCCCCTCCTTACCTGGTGGGAACAGCTGCCAGTCCTTGGCTGCAGTTCAAGATCAGAATAGCAAAAAAACAACTGTTGGAGGTTATTTTCTTTTTAATTTACATCATCCAGGAATCAGAATCAACTATTCTTCTGTAATTGACTGAAAAGGATAATTAGTTCAAATCAATGTGCTGGTTTAATTAGCCTGATTTACAATCAGCTCATTCTGTCTGTAGAGGAGGGTAGGACTGTTTGCTGAGGTGTTGCTGGCATCAGCTGCTGCTGGATGTTTCAGGGGTCACCATGAGGGAGCAACACCAAGGACAGCAAACTGATGGGACAACGTCATTTTATTCTGTACATTTACATACAAAGTTCTTCTCAGTAGGTACAACAGATGTAACATCATGCAGACATTTAGCTTGTAAGACTGTTTTCAGTACTTGATTTAAGCTTGTGCTATGAGGAAGCACCACCAGACTATTCATGATCAAAACATACAGTAACACGATTCTTTAAAACTTCATCAGAAACTGAAATGGGGAGGGAGATCTCGCCCACTAGACAAAACACACTGCTCTCTTTCCCAAAACATTTTACACAATACATTTAAAATGAGGTTTGTAATTTTATTTTTTCTTAAAAAATAAAATAAAATAAAAAAAAGTTACAGTGGGGGAGCTCAGCCCCCACTTAATAGTGTTGTCTTATGTGCCAGCTACAGGCGCAACTTGATTTGACATTCACAGAGTTCAGTTAATGGCACTTCTGCTTCCAATTTGGTGACCAATAAAGTGTTTGGCTCCAGGAAGTGGCAACAGTTAAGTAAAATACTTCCATTAAAAAGCACAACAACAACAACAAAAGCCTGCTCAACGAAACCAAAAAATAAATCACACAACCCCCTTTCAGAGTGGCCACAGGACACTAGCAAACAGGTGACTGTCGTTATCCATTTGCAGTGTGTCTGGCAACAAAAGCAGTACTGAAACCTTAAAAGGGGACAAACCCCCCCAAGATCAAGCATAATGTCACTTCACATTTTTGTTTAAACGTACAAAGATGGAAGAAAGCCCTTAAATGGTAAACCCAAAGAAAAATCTACTGATGATGGGCTTAGAGGTTACTGAAGGTTCACAGAAAAAGGCCAAAACAGACAAGACAGCTTGGGCTGCTGCCCCTGTTGTGGTGGCCAGAAAGAGCCGCCTGAGAAAAGCCTTTCCTGGTGATGGCTGCAGAGGAGACCTGGCTGAGGAGCCAGTGGTGCAGCAGGCTGGGACCCCAGCAGGGAGCCCCGTCCTGCCCAGGACTAGGCAAGGCAGGACAAGCATTCCCACGCTTCCTTCTGCCCTGCTGCATCACCTGCTACCTGACTCCTCCACACAAGGTATGCTTAGCAAAAACTTGCCAACTCTGTGAGCACATATGGAAGAAAATAAATCATCACAGAAGTGTTCAATGTTTTCAGGAAATGGAGCAAAACTGGAGCTGCTAAGGCAGGAAATTAGTTTGTGTTTTATTGTCGTGACAGAGGCAGAGGGCCAGTCCAACTTGAGAAGCTGGGGCTCCCTTCGGTGCAGAAGATCAGTACCGACTACCTGGTTTCAAGCAAAAAACCCAAAAAGCAGCAAATCAAATCAATTTCATAGGATTAAAAAAGAAAATGCTGCATGTTCCTGTCACCTAGTTTGTTTACTATATAAATGCTGATATGTTTAAACAACTGTTCTTTTCCCTGGGCCTGTCTGTCATCGGAGAGCAACCACCAGAATAGGAAACGACTAAGCGCTGTGGACAGCAGCGGTGAGCACACCAGGACCGCTGACAGTGCTGGAAGCAGCTGCTTTTATAGGCTTGTGGATGGGCTACAAGAGCCATACTGCAGCTGGAGCACACAGGCACGCAAGACCACGAACTAAGGAGCCACTGGCTCCAAGGCATGATGGATGGCAGGACGCTGCTTTCGCCTCTTGTGCTTGCACCTTCTCCACTTTCAGGCCCTTTTTCACTTCCCTTAAGACTTGTTTTGCTTCTTCAATTTTTTGTTATGAACCCACTTTATTTTCTCCCCAAACGTGTGTAGCTTGCAACAAGCATCTCACATCGAAGGCAAAGGGTATTGCACAAGTTTGGCACGTGAATACTGCGTGAATGGGGAAGGGCTGGGTTCTTTCCATAGGTGAACACAGACTGCAGAGGTCTCGGCACAGAACAAAAAGAAGCAACCACACTCAAGCCTGACAATAAAACTTGAGTGCAAGGAAGATTGGGCTCTTGCTGTCACAGCAAGTCTAGCAAAGGTGAAAAAGAAAACAGTAGTGAAACTTTGGGCAAAACTACCATCAACTGGTCCAGTGTTTCTTACCAGGCTCAAGAAGAACCCAAATGTCCACATCCTCTGTAAAAATTAGCAGCTTTAGGACAACATTGTTACTCTGAACACAACCACCTCTGTCGCTTCTGCAGGTCTACCTGTCCCCTTGCGTTCATCAGCATCTGAGGCTGTGCTACTTACTGCATTGCCCGCTGGGGAGCACGTATCTCTGATTTTTGGGGACTGTAAGAGGACATCGGCAGCCTAATGGAGGATGGAAATTGTTAGGTACAGTAGTTAAAATTGACAATATATACAGCAAAGGAGGAAGGGGGAGGGAAGGTAAAGGAGGAAAGCGCAACTGAGCACTTTCCATGCATATGAACGCCAAGATGTACATCAAACAAAGTGGCAATCATACGGACACTCAATACAACATTGACATCCTGCTGCTCTGTTTGAACGTCTGCACTACCAAGCAATCACAAATGGATGGCCTGAGTGAGAAAGGGGAAGAGGAAGGGAGAGTGGGGAGGTTAACTACAATGCAAGAAAGCTGTTTGTTTACAAAGTCCTTGCATTGAACTAGATCCTCACGATATTCACACAGTGAGAACCAAAAGCTGATGGCCGAAGGAAATAGTTGGTTTGGGGGCTGAGAAGTCAAGTGGCCACTATCAAAGTGCCATCTGCACAGTAGGAGGTAAACTGGATGTTCACTTTGTGTAGGATTAATCCAATTTAAGTAAACGTTTTTTATTCATGAAATAAAATCTTACAAGAGCAGTTGGGGAAGGGGGGAAATCTGGGTCAGTTCACTGTATATGCTTAGGTCAGGAGCAGAAAACTTCTCTAAGAGCCCAAGACAGCCAACAGCTGACTGTAAGTCATTATTCATAGGCTATCAATTCATTTCTTTCCAACAGTAATTTAAGCAGTTTGTCCACTTAAATTGAAAACCCAAACCCTGATTCTCAAAACAGGTAAGACAATGCCAGGACACTCACTTCCCAGGAGCAGAAATCCCAGCTCAGCTGCCTTTTGGAATA